TTATCGACTAGCTGGATAATGCTTATCAACAACATGAATCTCCTAGGATTATATCGATTGTGGCGGCTGTATTGTACACAGGTGGTTAACAGGCCCAACTTGAGAACCATTATAAACTTAGCTTAGTAGAGCTAGCAACCCGTCATTATCACATGTCAAGAAGCAATAAACTCGTCCAGACAAGGGGGTGATTAGATGGGTACCATTATAAATTTGAATAAAATATTTGAACAAAACAAATCAATGACTTCCTAACAAACAAAAGTACAAACAGTATATTTCAGAATTTGGAAACAGTAAGAGATTTTATGAAAGGTGTAAATATCGATATGAACTTTGATTGTGTTTTTTTTAAATTTCCACCATACTGTAGGCAATTATCAGAAAAAGACCCTTTCATGCACACATTTTATCTTGGATGTGACAATTAAATAAGATGTTTAATTTTTATTTATGGAAAGTTAGCTATCTTCCCTTTAAATTTCACGGTGGGGGTCTATTAATCGTTTATTATACTTTATTTAATCCGTAAAGCTCATTAATCCCTCCTTTTCCAGTTGAATCCCTTTCTAAACAAACTGGTAATTAGCCGCTTTGTCAAACATTGAATCAAAATGCACCTGAATGCAATCATATAAAATGTGTAGTCTTTGAAAACCAGTTGACAAAACAAGTAAATAGAAACTGGGAAAGGCGTCAGGTCTTGGTGTAATATAAATTGTGCACACAATCATATTATGTCACTGTGGTGTATTTAATTTGACTAGAGAAGGTACATATTGGCGACACAATGACCTCTTTTTCAACTTCACGCGACCAAACGGCGCCAGGTCTGCATTTTGCCCGCCATATCTGAATAGACATGACACACCGCTTTTATGTTTTCATCTCAATTATCCTCTCATTTCATTCGCTAGTCTTTATATTTTACTTACATTCTTGTGAATGCCGCCAGTGAGAATCTATTGAGACTCAGTCAAATGTGAAATCTCGGGGTTTTTTAACGTCTAACATCACACTAGAAAGTGTCGACATTTTACTTATTCCCTTTTATTTACGGGATTTTTTTTTTATTTAAAGACTTTATCCAGGCTTGCTATATAGATATTCTACCGAATAGATAATAAAATAGAATATCCCTCATTTAGAATATAAATCTTAAAGATGTTATGTTGGTGGGTGGTTTTTTTTAATGAAAATAATCAGTTGCATCGCACTGCCAAACATTAAGGGAAAGTTGAATGGACCTTTGATAAGCATACATATATATTTGGTTACGGTAGAATGAATCTTAAATGTGGGAAAATATCTCAGCATCTTTATAACGTTATCTACTGCAGCCATTTTGGGGTTTTATAAAAGTAAAAACAACACCATTGTAGCTTTTGATCGTATGTGTGTATATACAAGTATTGTATCTTTTACTACAATATGTAAATATATCAGACAAACTTTCTTTTTACTGATTCCAATGTCAGATATCAATTTTTATCGACGCATCATCTCCTTGAAGTGAAAGAGAGCGAAACTGTTTTGCACATTAAACACTGGTATAAGAAGCAGATTTTAATTCATAATACAAGTCCCCGTGGTAATACGTAGAAACACAACTAACGCAACTGAATGCAACATCAATCGATGTTCTTTGGTGACTTCAGAACATGCAGGGAGATTCCCATCGACATATTCAGCGCCATTAGTGATCAGAATGTATCTCCGGATCATTATTAATGAAAACACAATCGAATGTCATATTCTCGGTGTCCCGACTTGGGAGGACATCGTGTTATCAATATCACCAATAAGTGAATGTAGCGTATTCATTGTCTCCATTAATTCTTGTAAACGTTACATCCTTGGCGTCACAAAAGTTTGTAAATGTATCATTCTCCATTATTATAAGAATGACAAACACAAATACGACTTCCACAGTAAAACAACGAAACGGAAGAATGCAAGGTTTCGGTGTGATCAACAGCAACAGTGGACGTAAATCCTCCTCAATATCTTTCACATAAACATCTTTGACTATTTGCAACCAGCGTTATGACACTTCGCTAAAACATAATTTATAATAATATAGAAGAATGCACCGTTTTTTGGTATAAGCAATAGCATCAATGAATGAGAATCCTCAGTATCATTAACATAAGCAAACATTGTTGCATTTTTGAATATCAGTGGTCACACGCCAGTAATTGCAACATTTTGATATTATGGATGCACCACCAGTGACATAACGTAAGTCGGTGTATTGGTCTGTAATGGTTAGAGTCGCCAATACTAACACCAATAAATGCAAGCATTTTTATTGTCATGAATAACATCCATAGATGATGTATCGCCAGGCATGCCCAATATAAGTATTAACCATGTCATCAATGATTAGAGCTTCTTCATCAGTGGGCACATCATTTATTAACTTCAGATATAGCCTTTTCGGTATCAAAGATACATGTACATACATTTCCATAACATCAATGGGTGCAGCACTGTTTAAGTTCAGATGTAACATCTTCAGTGTCATCAGTAAATCAATGAACACGGTCTCTGGAGACGGCACCTTTGATAATTATCGATGGACGCAACATGACATTATCATTAATGACACCAATGAATATAATGAATTCTCAGTACATGTATAAACAATATTATCGCTGGTGAATCTGTATGATGAGTAATAAAACTGATTAACCGAGAAACTAAACCAAGTTCAATGTGCAATAATTTGTATTCGCAGTCAGGACTACGGCAAAATTTCGCAGACACAATACATGTACATGTATGTTGATCTCTTTACAGGCACTAGCGAGTTGCTGTATCGTAAAGCATGAAGGGTTTGTTATTTATCAATTGCCCACTTTACCAATACCTACAGAATTAAAATGAAATTTATGACGGGAAGACCATTTAGGCCCGATGGCTATAGGAACTGTGAGACCTCCACAAAAGCAGTTAAGTTTTTGGAATCTGGGAATTTTTTACCGGGATGCTTCTGATATACTACAGATATACATTCTATTAATTGAGAATTCTTTTGAAATGGATAACTTATACTTTGATTCAGCTTTCACGTATGAAATACCTTAATCTCAATCTATGTATGCTCTTCAACTGTTGGAAGCCCCTGTATGCAGTGTCCTGTTGAGGAAATTTTGCCCGGACAGCGGCATTTCAGCCTTCGACAACTGTCAAGTGTTCCTGCACCACTGTCAAGATGAGACATTTAATGCTTACAGACACAGCTGCACGGTGAAATGCGAATTACATAACATAACGTACTCCATTAAATTATTCAAATTAAAAAATAGGGAACATAGTGAATGTCTTGTTTGGACAAGCAATTATTTCCTCGACTTGGATATAAAGATACATATAATCCATTGTATCAATACTTGCTATATAAGTATTTAGATTATTTGGTATCAGGTAGATATTACGTAGATAAAAATGGGTGTAGCGAGTAAAACACTCTGATTAAAAGATAGGTGAAATTTAGAATACAGATAAATCAATTACTCCATTATCATACTATATGTCTTCTTAATGACAGAAACAACAGCACTAGATAACACAACACAAACTTTGAAATTGTGCGAGCCACTGTGGCTCAGTGAGTAAGACGATGACGTCCCGTGTTCGATCTCGGTGTTGGCCTGTAAAGTTCCTCGGGACTTCCGGCGCGGTTCCCCGTTGTAGTGATGCAGGGCGGGGGGCCTAGCAAGGACACGCGTTTATTCGTTCGGAAGAGTCAAAAACAGGATGTACACACTAGTGTGCACGTCAAGGAACCCTTGACAGTGGGAATTCGAAATAACAGGCCTCAGCGTCCGTTTTCATTAACTAGATGGGGCCGAAAAATAAGACATTAAACCCCATTTTAATTATCTTTTAAAGTATGCAACGGTAACTCTAATAGTCAAAGCATCATAATGTATTATATTACGACAAATACAGTACGTGCACATTTGAAAGACGCCCTATGCATGAGCATAGGCATTCTATGATGGGTGCTTTTTAAAAGGTGTTTTTGGTTTCTAACCAGTATTGTCCCACCAATTTATAGGATTATAGGACTGTTAACTGGGAAGAACTTGCAAGAGTGTGGTGTTCTAGTGCCAAGTGCAGTCGTAATTATAATTAAAGATTCAAAAATTAAGATTTATCAGGAAGCCGGAATCTCGTTAAACGGTAAATCAGTTGTTTAGAAAGTTTTCTTGGCCTTAAGAGATAGGATTAAGTCTGGGAATTTGTAAGAATGATATCAGTGTTATGTTGTTAAATAATAAGCCTTAAATTCATCCCGAATCAGCAGCTGTCTCTTTCCAAACAAATGAAACAAAGTCACTCTAATGCTAAGTTGGTTCAAATAAAATTAGCTCATTGTATGAGTGTGTGATTCTTAATACTGTTGAAATAAAATACAGTTATATTATGCGCTTTACTTTCCCTGTCTAGAGATAAGAAAAAACCTATTTTCAATGAAAACAGGTGGTTGAAGTAATATATAATTGTATAGGGTTGTTTGTCGCCATGTTTATCGTCAGCCAGAATAAATAAAACCTCCGTAATATAGCATCTGTGGCTGAAAGCCAAATAGCTTTTAATTAAAATATTTGACGCCATGCCATATTCGTCTATATTCCCCTTGTCCAGATGTTACGACAAATCTGGCAACAGCTCAAAAATCTTCGGGGCCATGAGTCCAAGTCCACTATTTTTGTACAATAATGCCAAAGACAAGCTAGTTGATTCTGTTAATTAATTCCCAGCATTTGATTAACCTATAAATTATACCACTAATTGTTTGATCGCCTTACACTTGTTGTTCGAGCTTTTACAACCCAGTCGTAAAAGATATTGATGAGGGCGGTACCTTTCCACACCCCTTTCATAATGGACTCTCCTCGCTACTCAACCATTAGATCACATATTGAATTTAGCCGAGAACAAGTAAAATGTCTGTATCCAACCACCTGGTGTAGCCATTATACTCGCTTAGATAAAAGTCGAATAAACAGCCGCTTTCCAATTTTCATATTCTAATTACGTGCAGCAGATGAAATGTTAAAAGCCGAGCGTGAGGGGGAAATCTAGCAGACGACAAGGCGCAGTTAAAGCGAACAGGACTGAGCTAGTCGAGTCTATTTTTATATCGCCTCAATTGCCTCTATGAAAGATAGCCATCTGAATGAGATTAGTCAATAAATAACACGCATCCAAGGAATTCTTTAACATTTAACATCTGGCCGACTACTAGCTCAGCCGTTAGTGTAAACAGCACACAGCGAGCTGGCAGTTCATATCACTTGCTCAACGATGGCGGGCTTACTATCCACCTGTGAATCTCCGTGTTCACCAACACCGTGCGTCCAGCTGAGAGGAAACCTGTCCACGGATAGCAGCTCTCCGGACAAGTTAACCTCGCCCACGGATACACCTAGGAAAAATAAGAGAAAACTTAGTGAACCGAGGAAGAGGAGTGATTTTAGTATTAAGAGATTTTGCCCTGATAGCCCGGGTAGTGCTATGTCTCATAGTGGTTCGGGTAGTGAGGATTATGAGCCGATACAGGAGGATCCGCCCGACACCCCCGAACCGTGTCACACCTTTGCTTCTGATCTCGACGATTCTTCTCAAGGACTCGGACCTCGGGATGAAGTGAACCACCTGTCTCAGTTTTATAACGGGGTACATGCCAACTGTATTGTGCCAAATTTATATTATGGAAAACCGAATTTAACCCATAATGGATTATTACCACAATTAATGGACGATGGATTAGTGAACGGATTAAAGAGGGGTCGGTTAGATAAGGGTTCGCGTAGTGGAGTTAAAAATGCTCCAAGTATTGGCGAAGAGGCGGACGAAGAATCAATGATGTTTAGTGACAGTATCGGTAAACGAAATCGAAAGAATTATAAAAATATGACTCGAGAGAGACGAGTGGAAGCTAATGCCAGAGAGAGATCTCGTGTTCACACAATTAGTGCTGCTTTTGACAGTTTACGGCGAGCTGTACCGTCTTATTCTTATAATCAAAAACTCTCGAAGTTAGCCATATTACGAATAGCTTCTAGTTACATAATGGCTTTGTCGAGTTTAGCCGACGAAGACGCAAAACCTACTACAAATTTTGCGGAATGTGTGGATATGTGTACTCAGACTATTCAAACTGAAGGCAGAGCGAGGCGGAGACATTAAAAATAATACTAGACAAATTTAATTATTAAAGCTATACATCTAGCTTAGTGGAAAGTTGTTAATTATTGTTATTGATTAATTCTGATATTATAACTGTGATAATTAATGTAATCGGCAATCAAACATAATATTATTATACCATTTTTTGCTCTCTCTCTCGCTCTCTCTCTCTCTCTCTCTCTCTCTCCGAATTCTATGATATTGTATTATTAATCCGCTGGAATTATATTTCACAACTTATTTAAATTGGTGTCAAGGATTGCATTGTTGACTTTGGTGGAGTCTTTTTCGTTTAATTATCTTATCGACGCAAGTTTTCTCTGGCGTTTAAACCATCTGGCAACCAAGCGAGTTGTACAGGGCTTGTCACCGAGAGATAAGTACATGACGTGCTTCAGCTAGTTTGGAGTGGTGGAGATAACAAAATTATAACACAGCTGGCCTTTTTTACCACTTTATATATTATGTGAAGTGAGATAGCTTACAATCGTCGCTAGCCATTTTATTTAGGTCTCACTACAAACTCACATATAAAAAGCTGTTTCTTCAGAAATATTTGATTCACGATGATGCGGATGAAGGAAATAAATGAAAAAAATTGTTTAAACCGATAAAACTAACCCTATGACCTGAAAGACAAGGAAAAGAAAAAAAGCTTTATCGTGACTTGTAATAATAGTAGATCTTAATACGGTCAGGTCTCCATATTGTCTTATGGTATTATCTCAGTATTGTTAAAGTTGTAGATTACTCAACTGTCAGTCAGCACTTTTAAAACAAATAAAGTGCTTATTTACTTTTTATGAATATGTCCCTATTATTATTTATGGGGATTTTTGTATAACGGCCAGTTTGTATATTACATTATGTTACGAAAAAGTTTGAATAATATTTTTTTTTTTTTTTTTGGTAATTTTTAAATATGTTGCCTTTCTGTGATAATCTTATTAATAATTTACTGTCACTTTAAAAAGTAGTATATATTAATTGTTCTCTTACTCGCACTTAGAAAAAAGTGGTTATTAGCACTGAATACAGCTATCATTACGATTCGTACTAATTTCAACTCTTTAACTTCAAAGAAGAATGTCGTGTGTGCTTTAATATAGATATAATAAGCTGCACTTTTTGTTACTTATAATAGAATAGCTTAAAGTGGCCATTACACTTTAACACTTCATATTTTGTTCGTACAAGTAGAATATCCATCTGTATATTCTTAAAGAATAGAAAATAAATTGTGAGGTGTATGTGAAAAAAAATTAGCAAATTAATCTTTATCACTGTGTATTGGTCACTTGAACTAGATTTTCAGAATCTGTAATTGTTCCTTTAAGATAAAATAAACCCTGTGAACTAGTTTTAGAGAGTGTTAAACAGCAGTTAAAGATATTAAAATATATATATGTATATATATTATATATGTAATATTACAGATTTTTCATGTTTTCAACTTCAAAAGCCTGTCCTGTAACCGAACACTCAACAACCCCCAAATGTACTTGTTATTCAACATATTGTTTATTCTTTAATCCTCTTATTAAAACACGTGACTAATGTTCTGTTTTCTATCTCATTGAAAAAATATTAGACATAAAAATAAGGCAGCAGAAACAACTTGTGTTACTATAACAGCGTCGGCTAAAAATCGATTAAATCGTAATAATAAGATTAATCGTTAGATACTTTGGCATCTGGTGTGCCCATTTCTAATCCTTCCCGCCATGTCTCGTATTAATCAAAACACTATTTATCCTCTGATACGTCATTATTAATACCCGCCCTTCAGGTAAGGATATATCACCCCAATTTTATTATGTATTTAGTAATTCTTAAAAGTTTGCATAAGAAGTTTCTGTGCTGTCCCAATTTGTTCATGTATCGCCATTTTTGTTACGTTTGCATATAAAATGTTGTTTATTCAAAATATCGTATGTTGTTTATTTAGCATCGAATGATTCCGTCATCAAAAGTATTGGGTAATATCAAATATACCACAGAGTGTGTGATTTTATAATACCGTCATTCTTTCTGAGGTCTGGGAAAACAAGAACTTTCAAACTGCTCATATGTTGGCTTGTTAGAATATGTGTGTGAACAATCCCAGTGTACTGGTATATGGGTTGAGAATAATATGATCTATATTATGACACGTTGCTTTGAGAAATCTTTGTTTATAGTTCCCTAGCAAAATAATTGATTCAAGATTGCTCCGTCCAGAAGTGACAATTGGCGCGAGAAAAAAAAGTTCAATCGATAGCAGAAGGCTGTGAAGATCAACGCCTGTTTTTTGTTCTCTAAAGTTTAAGTGAGACAATTACTCGATTGATTTTTGTTCCTGAAATAACGTATAAATGCCTTGAAATCAAAACTTACTTCCTTTTAGTTCATAAAGTCTGTAATTGTTCATAATTGCTCTAGGGTATAATCTGGTTTTCAAAGACACTTGCTAAATATGGTTGAAATAAAATGGGGTTAACGTCCGTCTAATGAAGACAGGCATATGCGCCATGCAATGCGGCCTACTCTTACATCGAATTCCAACTGCCAAGGGATCTTTTACGTGAACGCCAATGTGTACACGAGACCTCGGATTTTTGTACCATCCCGAACGACTAGACTCCTGCACCACTGACAAGGGGAGAAACCACGCCCGAAAATCCCGGTCAACTTTCTCGGCCTAGACCAATAAGTCGTGTTTGCAATGTCGAAGACTGTAGATGATACTGAGTTAGCGATCTACCTCCTTTAATCAGACGTGGCATGGTGTAGGATCACCTGTCCAACGTCGTGTGTTTTCCCCGGGTCCTCCGGTTTCCTCCCACAGCTAAAGACCCCTACGCGCAAGCGAATTATTGAAATAAAATTGAACCATGTGTTAGTCCCGAAATGACCTAGTGTGTGTCGAGTGGACGTTAAACCCCATTTTTCTCTCTCTCCCTTTAATCAATCGTAAAGATTCTGAATTCTGAAGTTACTGGTCTTAATTGAGGATGCTTATGCAATAAGGTGAACAGAAATGAAATGAAATTGGGTTTAAAGTCCTACTGTTCTGCTCCGAACTGGGATAATGAAGACGGGCATACGCCATACAGTGTGCTATGGGGTGAATTTTTGCCCGGACAGTGGCACTACGGCCTACTCTTATATCGAATTCCAACTGTCAAGGGATCTTTTACGTGCACGCAAATGTGTACCCGGGACCTCGGTTTTTCGTCTCATCCGAATGACTAGACAGCTGTCCTTGTCAGGCCCTCCATCCTGCATCACTGACAAGGGGGAACCACGCCGGGAAATCTGAATGAACTTTCTCGGCCAATGCAGGGATCGAACACCCGACCTCCAGGCTAGCGAGCCAGCGTCTTACCCACTTAGCCAGCGAGATTCCCCCAGGCAATAAGGTGAACAAGTGCCGTTGTTTTTTCAATAAGATCATTTGATTGTTTTCAAATAAATCCATTTTTAGTCGATTTTCTTAACAACATGTTCATCTTTAATCACAGTGTATGTCAATTTTAGTGTTCTGGTCTAAAAGTATGCAAAATACTATTTTAGGCAAATTGTGTGAAGTGGCACATGTCCATCTTATTGCACTAACATACTCAATTCCAGAAAACGAAAGTATTTCGAATAATTTCCAAGGAATGAGTAAATCCGACACCAGTAAATAGGAATATTTCATTGCAACAACAACATCGAAAAGATCAAAAACGGTTAAAATTCTTAACAGTGTGTTCAGCAACGCCAATGTCTTGGAAAAAATCTCAATTTAGAGTACCCCATCTTAAATCTTGATGAAATCAAAACTCAACTTAAACACGTTAGAGACATATAAAGTCTAAGGGATCACGTGGCTAAGTGGGTAAGGCGCTGGCTCGCTAGCCTGAAGGTCGGGTGTTCGATCCCTGTATTGGCCGAGAAAGTTCATCCAGATTTTCCGGCGTGATTTCCCTTTGTCAGTGATGCAGGACGGAGGGCCTGACAATGACAGCTGTCTAGTCGTTCGGATGGGACGAAAAACCGAGGTCCCGGGTACACATTGGCGTGCACGTAAAAGATCATTTGGCAGTTGGAATTCGATATAAGAGTAGGCCGTAGCGCCGCTGCCCGGGCAAAATTTCCCCTCATAGCACACTGTATGGCGTATGCCCGTCTTCATTAGCCCAGTTTAGGAGCAGAACAGTAGGACGTTAAACCCCATTTCATTTCATTTCATTTATAAAGTCTAATGTCAAATAAACTTCTTAAAAAGGTATTATTTTTGTTAATTGTCTAGAAAACATATATACAAACGATTGTTTATAATACAATGTTTAATTAACGGTATTTTTAAGTCCGCTTCTATCCATGGGATATCGCAGACAATCCCATTTTTTTTATGAATGAGGCTAATTTTGTAGGTGTGTAATAAATGTTGACAAGGGCAGGTAGGTAAATGTATGTATATATGTAAATGTATGGTATGTAAGAAAGCTGGCGACAAGAGAGCAGGTGTCAATCGACAATTGTCTCGTCATTTAAATATTTACAACTTATATAACCTGTTTTATATTTACCTGTTATATTCACACCTGGGTACAGTATGGAATGTCATGGCGTTTATCCTCTCACTTTCCTTTCTTTTAAAAGTGACTAAAAATAATTTATGAAAATGACGAATAAGGGTAAAGCTGGTCAAAGAAACCTGTGGCAGTGATTTTAATTATAAACAATGTTCTAAGATGACCAAACCCTGTGCTAGAAGTATAAATAAAATATACACTCTTTAAAACCATCGTCAGCAAAATAAAAACCACAGGGATGGAGAGTCGCCCTGTGGGCACCCTAAAAAGGCGAGTGTCTCCAAATTGTTTAAGTAGGTTTCCTGAAACACAGCCAGATTATATAAATTTGGAGGGGCATCGATCGTGCATTTTTAACTGCTTTACTAATTACCACCGTTGTGTCTTTGTAACCAGAATTTGATATGATTAGTTTTTGTTTTACCACACTCACCAACAGGATATCCTGTATGGTATAATATGTAAAGTATATATATATATAGAGAGATTACACAGATTTATATTTCATACTGTAGTTTTTAATATACATTTATATTATATATACCATGTGATCGCCCCAGGTGGTAATAGCGCTCTTTATAAACTACATATTATATATACACTCACTATATTAAAGCTTTTCATAGTAAACTATATAGTATAGCAAGTATATGTTGACAATGGGATGTTTCTACACCTAAACAACCACAATATATATGACTCTTATTCACAGGTCGCAATCGGGATATTATCGCCCAGGTGCGATAGCAGGCACCCCTGGTGATGAGCCCGACGTTATTTTTTTTTTCTCCATCTATTGTCAGTGATGAAAGGCCGTGCTCGAGGCACTCTCATAATACTAAACAAGTGAACATGGTCTGTCGAAAGTGACAATTAAGTGATTTTCGCGCTTGGTTAGTACAGAAATTTGATCCCGTTTGCCAGGTTAACGTCTGCGTGAGTGTGTGTTCAGCTCGAGAGCAGGTAAACTTGCTAGAGTTTGCAATTATCTTCTTTATTATACTTGATGGCGCCGAGCGGTCGTGGAATTAGCGATCGTCCTAACACGGATTGGAGGGTAACTATTGTTGCATTTACACTCTGACGCCATGGGGTCAACACGTCAACACAGACAACTATTGATGACATTCCTCACAGCTCTTTTCTACTACTGTAGGTAATATAACTGTATTGTTGGTCTGTTACAGATCGTAACCTTCTCAGCTCTTTGATCACACAATAGTCTTTATTATACGCTTATTTCCCCATTGTAAAACACAGCCCTTACCCCAAATCCCTTTATTCCTTCATGCAGACAAACGATTAATTGTCATATCTTACAGGTGTGAATTCATTAAGCGTAAGGTATTTTTCAGGTGGTAAAGAGATTAACAGGCGAGAAGATGAAGAGACACTTGTTGATGCTTAATGAAGTGAGATCTATCTCACTAATCTCCATCTTCAACCACCTATCAATGTAATGACGGTTAAGGATCCGTAAAAAAGTACTATTTGTCATTTGTTTAATTCATGTCAGTTGAAGTTCAAGGATACAAATTATTGTTGAAAAGAATCCGTCAAAATTTGAATGATGGTTGATTTGACACTGTTTATAAACGAACTTAAGTGCGCAGGTTTCTAAATATTGTGATTTGCGATTGACAGCCAATGCTTAGTAAAATGACAACTGAAGATTAACTACCAAATGGTTTATTTCTTGAAATTGCAAATGAATTAGCCGGTAGAATTAATTTTAGAGATTTAGAAAAGAAAGGGGATTTGAACGAGGTTTATGTTTTTGCCCATTTTTAAAAGGGAAAATAACTTAGGGCACAAGACTTGGTTTGTGACGAAAAGCCCCTAGTTTTGTCATGACGTTTGTCATTTTTTTATGACATCAGTGGAAGTTCGGATATGATGTGTAGATTATGCATGTCTATAACATGTCTTTCCCGTCGGCCAATACTTTTGGCGACATTGAGAAAAAGACACTCTTGTGGAATCTTTCGCTGATTTGTAAAAGTATCAGATCGTATCAGGCGTCCGACAAATTATCTAAACGTATCGGGTAATCATTTTCTTACAAAATATTACTAGAAAGTATCAGAAAGTATTATCTAGACGTATTAGGTAATCTTCTTACAAAATATTACTAGAAAGTATCAGAAAGTATTATCTAGACGTATTAGGTAATCTTCTTACAAAATATTACTAGAAAGTATCAGAAAGTATTATCTAGACGTATTAGGTAATCTTCTTACAAAATATTACTAGAAAGTATCAGAAAGTATTATCTAGACGTATTAGGTAATCTTCTTACAAAATATTTCTAGAAAATATCTGAAGGTATTATCTAGACGTTTTAGGCAATCTTACAAAATATTAC